AAAAAATTTACAAAACTCTTCTTTCTACGTACTTCAGTAAGATGTTGCAACCCCGCGGAATGAGTCATCGAATATGTGACGCATTTTAATCCCTTGCATCTATCCTATAAACTATATTTTGTATATATTTTATGGTAAGTATGATAAGTTCATTATTCGTTTCAACGAATATATAGATAACGTGTATGCATAAAAAAACTTTCAAAGAAATATTCTTAAGTTTCGGTTTATTACTGGATAACCGATTTATATTGACGTACATAAATGAGTGAACTAAAAGTTTGACCAGCTTTATCTTTTTGAGCTTATCTGAAATATAAATATTTTTTTTTTACATATATACTTGTCAAAATATTTGACATTTTCTATGATGCATAACATATCTTATAGCAAACTTAACATATGTTATCATACTTGTGTAAAGGGTATAATAAATGAATAAATATGTATATATTTATGTCACTTTTACTAATTTAATTTTTTGCTTATTTTTTTTTTAAATATTTAAACTTATAAATCTTTTCTACTAAATTCTGTGTCGCTGCAACTTTCTATTAAATTTACTTCATTTGAATATTTTCATTAATCAAATTGATTAACTATTATTTAATAGAAACATTAGTGTAATTTAGTTGATACAATCAAATTTTCTTAACACATTTTTAATGATCTAAAAAAAAATAAAAATAATAATAAATTTTTTCTAGCAAAGATAGTGTATTAGACTATACAATACAACGAGATAAGTAGCAAACCAGTTCATTAAACGATTTATTAGATGCAGTAATATTGGGTTATTTATTTTTTACCGGAAAATAAATTATTTGTAACATAACCACAGTTATGAAGGATTTAGAACTTTTATGAACACTAGAAATAATTTTATATTGTATTCTTTTTTATTTTATTAATTTATGTTTTATTAAATTTTTTTACATTTATCTTTAAATATAATTAGTTTTTAATGAAAAATGTATTTACTAATATGTTACGTATTACAATGTAGAATGCAGTTAATTATAGTGAATGATATATAATTAAAAAATATTATTGCCGTACGTAAATGATGAATACCTTTAAAGTGGCCGGTTTTCTTAAACTAGCATTGGTGAAGATCTCACTGTCATGATATAAATTCTAACGTCTAACAGGTTTTGGCTTATTTAAGATTATGGATGTTTAGTGTGTTTGGTACAAGGTCGATCAATGTACTCGTATCAGCTGTTGAAGTTTTTTTCCCAGTAAATATTGTACGAATTCATTAAAATGTTTATCCATATGTGTGTTGTTGTTTGCATGTACAAACATAATATATTTTAAATAAATTATTTTTTAACAAATTATTAAAAAAAAAACCTAAAAATTCGTTCTTAGAAATAAAATTTCTGAATTTTATGTGGCATTAAATTTAAGTAAAGAATAATAAGAAGTATGTCCATATATTTTTAATGATATTGACTTAAAGAATCTTACTATATTATTATAAGGGGTATATTATTGTTAAATATTAGTAGTAGTAACATTATACTAATTATCTTAAAATACATATGTATACACATTTGCTAAAATAATATATATATTATTACATCAGTAACGCTACTTATCAATCTTTTATATTTTTTTATAAGAACTGCAAACTATGTTGAGATCAAGGTAACCCAGTTTAATTATTTTAAACCAACGATTTACAATTTTATAGCTCAATGAAGTTAAACTTAATTACTACTTAGTTATTTTCAGTTTACTTTCTGTTAATGAAATATTCGCTATTTAAAGACTTACGTGAATTTTTTTAACATGAGCATGTTTTTTAGTTTATATGTCATACTATCATTCAGTCAAGCTGCTTTAAATTCTTTGAATTCATTCCTATAAGATGTTAACGCATTTTAACTTTTCTCTAATATGGGTTCCTAATCATAGGGTTATCTTTTTATAATTGCAAGGCAGATGAGCTAGCCAGACGAGGTGCTTCAAATAATCATTCGGAAAGGATCTGAGTATATCAATGTTCAATCAGTTATTGGAATCTTACTGTATTAAACTATTCAATATAAGGTGGGAAACCTCAACGATATGCAGGCATGTGTACGTAAATTGACCGTGTTTTATTTATAAAAAATCTAGTAATATCTTTGAGAAAACCCGTGAAGATATCAGTATTCTGGTAAGTTTGTTGATTGGTAACAGCCGTTTAGGAAACCATGGAAAAATATTGAATCATCCGTTGAATTATTCATGTCGCAGTTGCGGAAAGGACAATGAAAATGCTGCACATCTGCTTTGGTTCTGTCCATCGACTTTGCATGCATGGCTGCGATTCACTATGCCATGGGCTTATATAACTTCGTGTGCCAAGATAATGTCTGTTACCATAGCTTGCTTATTTCACTAGTTTATTTCAAAATTGCTGTTTAAAGAATATTAAATAATAAAAAAATTTAATATACAATTTTAAACTTCAATAACTTCAATAAGTAAGCTAAGTCAGCATATACCATAGTGAAAAAATTTGCTCAAATTAGCTGACTCTAATAAAAATCTGTTGTAAAGTTGACATGAATGAAAAATTGGAATCTCGAGTTCGATTATATAAATATTTGTTTATTTGCTAAAAACTATATGTGTTATTATTATTATTTACTTTTGGATTAGTAATTAAGATTTTTCATTACTGTTTACATGCAAGCAAAGTTTCTGATTCACAAAAAATAAATTAGATAGATAAAAAATAGAATCTGGACGCCAAAGCCAACCCTCATCGAATACCGACAATACTTGTCTAAGTTCCACTATTCACAAAAAAGGCGATTGGAGCAGACTTTACTAAGAACGAACAACTACTGCGCTAGTACAACATCCTCTTAGAGAAAACTATGATTTATATCGATAACTTATCAAATGTTGTTCAATGTTCAAGATTTGAAATATGTTTCTGCCTTATTCTTTAACTATCGGAACTTCCAAATCGATATGTATGTTTTCATTCCTGATATACCAGGGTGCACCAGTTATCATTCTTAGAATCATTGCTCGGGCTCTTTGCAGGATTTCTAATGTTGACGAATAGACATTGCCATATAACTGTAAGCCGTACATCTAGATTGGTTTAATGACTTGGTTGTATAACAACACTTAAAATTCTAAACATAAGAGATGCCCGATTAGCCAGAGAAGGCTTATAGTCTTGAGCTTCATTTGAATCCTTTTTGTTTTGATATGTTTCTGTTCACTTGGCATTTGTCAAGGTAAATACCAAGGTACGTCACTGTTTATATTTGCGGAGCTATATTCCGTTGAGTCTTATAGGATCTGTATAGGTGAGGAGGATCTGTTAAAAGAGAATATTATATGACAATATTTTTGATCATTAACTTTAATTCGCCACAGTGATAACTATCTTTCTACGAAGCACAAATGATTTTGCAGTTGACTAAAAGCGATATATATTTAGATGCCTTAAATAAATGATTGCGACAATTCTTACACTACATCACAAAGACTTTCTTATGTTTAATATATCGCTTTCGTATTATGTTTGTAAGGAGCTTAAAAATGATAAATCATAGCTGGGTTATAAAAAAAATAACATACAAAAACAAAGGGTATTTTATAATCGGTTTAGCCCTCAATAAACCTAAATTTAATTGCAGTATTAAAAAAACAACAAACAAAATAAAATATAAATATTAATTTAATTAATTGAATTTTTGCCTGGCCATACAGCTGTTTCGAGTACTGCCAAATACCCATCATCAGTGGTTTGGAAATAATTCTTGTATTTAATTATTCGTAAATAATTTTTTTATTTTCGTCAGTTTGTTAAGGTGCGCTGACTCTGAGCTTCAAATTTGGCAGGACACGAGTTCGATTCCTGATACTTGCAGTCTCAAAAAAAAAAAATAATAACCAATAATTCAATTAATTAATATAATATAAAATAAATTTTTCTGGTTGTAATTCACTACTGTTCGAAAAACCTATTTATAAATATTAATTTAAGTCTAAAAATATTACATCTACACAATTATGTCATGTAACATAATTAATAATTATATACATAACTTATTGATTTTATATATATATAGTAATATAGTAATGGCAAAACCATAACAATATCTTTAAATAATTAAATTTATTTAAGAAACTGAACATTTGATTAACTTAACAATATGTGAATAAATTTTTATTGTTATGTATTGTTAAAGTTAAAAGTATTGTATGTATATAATTCTTCATAATTAAAAACTAATTTGTGAATTCACACGCACATGCTATACGAAATATATTAAAATACGGGGGTGTTAATGAAAATTCGTTTTTCATTATATATTTCATGTTTCGGTTATTGGCACTAATATTAAAGAACAAAACTGAGTAGTTGTATATCAAGTTAGTTTTTCAAGGAGTTGGATGTGAGTAAAACTTATAAGATATTTTCCATTACCACATATTCGAGTATGTTTTTGGTAATTTGGCAAGTTCATTTTAATGTGTTTTATGTTTGGTTCAGGTTTTAAGCAGAAACCATCGTATTATTATGCCGATCATGATGGCTTGAATAAATTATCACACTGTAAGCAAAGTTTTAACTCTCACCGACTGACAACCCCGTCAATAATAGCGAGAACGGTTTTGTAGCAACAAACAAATCAATTCCATTTCAGCACTTAAACGGGTCGGTCGGTTTAGTTGCGCTGTCGCTCTGTTGCGTCTGCTTATACGCATATCGCATATTGATTTGTTTAAATACTTATTTGTTTATAGGTAATTCGGTACAAATGCAAATAGTGATGTGAAGTGTGCTTAAACAATATAAATTTTATGTAAATATAATCAAATACACATTATAGTAAAATCATATTGTTTCACAACATATGAATAAAAATCGCAGAGGCAAATGATTATTTTACAACCAAATGTTTAATAAAATTATAGTAACATTGTATTAAGTTGGTGCAAATAATTTAAATAATTTTATTTACTCAATTATTGTCAATTAAAAATTACTAAAAATAAACATAAGTTCTAATCAAAATAAATATCTAATCAAAGAACGTTGTTCGCTATAGGTAGGTAACAAGTTTTTTAAAAATTCCGGATAATCTCTAAAGTGCTTTTATTACTCGCATCGCATTGTTTATTTTAAAAATATATATACATATATACTTTTTGTTTTTAAATACTTTTCACTCATAAGCAAAAGTGTGCTTTAAAAATCCTTTTAAAAACAATTTAATTTATGACTTGAAGTTTAGTGTATATATTTAATATTGTGTGTGTGTTTTTGTAACAGATTTACTCGGACTTTGGAACAACAATGGGATACTTGGATACTTAATAAATTAAACAAATTGTATTCAATATGGATAATGCTAAACAAATTTTTTAAATTCTCAAAATAATTTACAAATAAATACTAAACACAAACGCGAAAAAGTTGCAGAACATTTAATCCAATTAAAGCTATAGTTGAAGTTATATTAATTATCTTTATAACATATTACTAATTTTTTTAATAATCTCACTTTGAAGTGATAGATATATTAGATAATATTGCAGAGCGGATGAGCTTGCCGAGACAGGGGCACTTCTCCGTAACATTCACTTCTCAGATATTAACGTTCCACTTTGCTACAGTTAAACTGGCAATTAAACAAAAATAACTGAGCATAGTCATGTAATATTAGACTGAAGAACACCGTTGTCAGATATCTAGGTTGACTTGGTCTAATTTAGACAAGAAACGCACTACTCAGCAATATCAACTAAGGGGGAACCTGCTCAGCACCATAGAAACTGCACTGACGAGCCAATGTTAAATAGGAAGGCATGTTATGAGACTGGGTCTATCCTACAATGACCGACCTAACCGAGCTGTTACCCTGTAATATTCAGGACCAAGCCAAATTAATAGACCTGTTAATTTGGTTTGCCTTTAACTAATGGTGGAGTCGTTGTCTTTTCCGGCGTTGGTTGTATAATTATCTTTTAATATATGTATGTGCCAATGGTATTCCTAGGGTACCAGAATGGATCATTATTTGAGCTTAAGTAAGCTTTTTGGAAACAAAACCGCCACCCCAACGTATCTACCTACTAAGATATTATTAACTTTTAAAGAAATTATCATTGGGAAATACACTTTGATTAATAAATACAGATAATTGTTTAGAGAGCTATTGAGAGATTAAAAACAATGGGCTCACGTACTAAAAAAATTATTTATTTTATTACTAAAAATACTTCTTACAAAGTTCTTTTTTTTCTTTCCTCGCATAGCAGTTCTTCAAGGATCTAAACAAATTTCGTTAAAGCGTCCATTTCTTGCTGATTCTTGCTTTTTCTCACTAGTCTTAAATGACTACTATCGTAATTTATTACTTATTTCTTTTATCCATCTTCTGTTTTGTCGCCCATTCCACTCTTTTATAAACTGTCTGGACCCATACTACCCATGGCCAAAGAAATGAATTGGGATTAAATAGATTAAGATTATATCTATTTCAAGATGAAAGATATAACATAATTCAACAATATTCGTGTTATTACATGTATAATAATTTTGCAATGAATATTACGAGTAATGTTTATATTTATTTTGGGATAATCTATAAAGGAAGATTTAGTCATAAAACAAAAATCTAGCATATTGTTACAATTTGTAATAGTATTGGATGAAATAGTTCTTCAGTAATGGAAGATTCCAACTTAATTTTCTTTTATTTTTCATCCTTGTAATTTTTTGTAAGCATTTTCTAAATTAATTTGAAATTATATAAAATTTTTATTTTTATTTCATTAGTATGCATTACAGCTCCAAAATTTAATAATAAAAAAAACATTAGTTACAAATTTGATACATTATATCATAAACTGTCTTCTCCAAATCTAAATATTATTTAAATTTTGAAAACAGCTATTGTATTTGGAAATATGGTTATACGATGCTTAAAGTAATAATTTGTAATTATCAATATTCAGAATATCATATATTATTTATTATTATGCAAGAGTTTTATTATTGAATGAAGGCAAGTATTTCATTCACCTTAAGCGATCATACTGAGTATTGCTTACACTTGCATTATAACAACAATAACGTTGCGATATTTTGAAAAATATTCAAGCATTTCAATCATAAATATATCCAACGATAAGCTATTGAGAATTCTTTGGGCGAGCGGTAAATCATAAATATATCCAACGATAAGCTATTGAGAACTTTTTGGGCGAGTGGTATTTAGAAGGTCTCGCCATAAGATTGCTTATGGGGAAGATGAAATATAACTCTCGTCTTTCGTAGTTTTAAAAGTGATAAATATACCCGTATAACTGACATGCTTCTAACTTCGAACGCTCATTGAATCTGTTGTGTAGAAGACACTTATTACTTTAAAGTTCTACGTGGGGTGTATCAAAAATAGATTGAGAAAAACTCAAGTAAACCTATATTCTTATAAAAGTGTAATACAGAAAAATTTTTAAAATTCATTATGCGCCAATTATTGTTATTGTTAATAGTTATAAATAGCTCTTTCACAGTATCTATATTTATAGATTGTAATATATATAATTTTTTTAAAAATCAAAGTCTCTTTGCAGTAAATATGTGTTTAATAAATCGTCCTTCAATTAGTTTATGATCGATTCCGCTTGCTTTTGGCTTGTGGGTTTCAATCAAGGCTCGCGATTTCATTTACAGGCATACGAAGAGTTGTACTTAACCCGCCGTACTTTGCTGATTATCTGTTGATTCGTTATAGCTTACAGGTGGTTAGTGGTAATTATGTTTGGTTCAGGCTCAGATACATATGGAATGTACACTAATAATATTGTAATTAATAAAAGCTTTGCCAATGGGTATTTAGCAATACTTTTATTCTTGTTTTCCCCGTATAAAAAAAGTACTTTTTTCCGTAACATATATATAGGATTGAAATCGATCGTTTCTAAACAACTGCAACCTGCGACAAATATACTAATTTCCTAAATATTTATTTGCAAACCTTCAACTACAAGCATTATATGATTTGATAGAAATTACTCTGTTTTATTTGTTTATATATTTCAATTTTTAAATGTTTTAATAATTTATTACATAATGTATAATATATTATATATTTCATAAATTATTAAATTATTGCTTATAAAAAACTTTTTTGTTTGCAAAAGATATCTGAAATATGGAAAATATTAATGGAGTTGGATCGTTAGAAGCACAAATGTTAAATGACAAGAAACCCAATTTAAATGGTAAGTTGAAAAATTTTAAATTACTGTAATAATAATAATAATAATTTATTTATTTTAATTAATGTATTTTAGATTCACATAGTGTAATCATTAATGTAGAAGAGTACAATTCAAGCACCAAAGAAAACGGTAAATTTATATAAACTTAATTTAATTCTTAATATGTACATTTAGTTTATTAAGTTAATTAAGTTTTCAGTATAAAAATAAATCATATAGGTTTCCTGATATCATTTATTAATGTTATAAATCTATATTTAATAGTAATTGAAAACATTACTA